CAGCCTCTCTCCCCTCGCCCTCTTATTAGTAGACCCCGCCTGTGTCTCGGGCCTCACTAGCAGGCGGGCGCGGCCGATCCCAGCGAGCAGCGCCGCGGCGATAATAATAATAATAATAATAATAATAATAATAATAATAATAATAATAATGATGATGATGATGATAACACCGGAAGTTGCCCTCCCCCAATATTTTGACTTTCACTGCATTTTCCCAATTATGTGAAATGTATTAATATAAAATGTTAAGTGCGACTTAACACTTTTGAATTATTTTTGAACACGGTATGTAATACATTATAATTATATAGAATCGTGTAAATATAGGATTGTACAATGAAAAATAATTTGAAGGAAACGCCCTTTCTAATATATTTTCTGTCGAGGCAGACTTGCAAGCCAGGGCAGCACCGTTTCGAAAGCAGCTTCCTAGGGTCAGCGTTTCGATTCGTGGACGTCGACAGTTTGGTTCAAGTGTTTTTTGCGTTGAGCGTTTCCCAATACGCTTGTCACATTCCCGGAGATAACTTATTTCCGATATGAAGAGCGCTGTAATGCCAGCGACTAAATGAGTTGACCCTATGGGTGTGAGAATTTTCTGCGAGTATGGAGAGGGATATCTCGCATTTTAGAATAAACAATAATAATAATAATAATAATAATAATAATAATAATAATAATAATAACGATAAAATTCCATACGAACTTTGAAACAAGTCTTTCACCTCGTATTTATTAGATTTAATGTCTATCTTGCTCTCCCCATTACATAATTGATTATTTTTATTATTCAATTCATTTTAAACGCAATTCACAATCCACATTGTCTTAATGAAAGACCGAAAAACACGAACTAACATGAAGAAACACGAAAAACGTGCTTCCATCACAATAGTGAATGAACATAACGGCAGTTGTGTCGCTAACCAACCATTGCACTATATTCACTACACAACAAGCGCTCCAAGTGGATTGGAAAGTTGTTGCCAATTTCAGGATCTAACTTTTATCCCCGTGACTACGCTCCTCTTAATGTACTAACGTAAGAGGAAAGAAGAAAATGTTTCAAAAAGAGGTCTCTGTTAATTTGAAACGATTTATTTAAATTCATCGACGGATTTAGCCAGAATGGATGGGCGCACGGCCTTCGGCTCCCAAGTACGCTTTACATCTAGACTATGGGGTTCAAATCCCGTGGGCATGAAATTAGTTGCCGTTCAAACCCCATTCGTCATTAATGTCAATATGCTGTGGCTTATTGTACATTCCCTGCACATGCTTCGCCCCTGAACCCGAATATTGCGCGTGATTTCTTATCCTCCCTGGTGCAATTGCAATACACGAGTCTGCGCGACGTAAGAGCCAACTAGTCGCTGCCTCAACGCCATCTTTGTGAGCCCTGGCTTCCTTCTTTTATTAATGGATAATTTCGTGTTTTTGAGTGCGTCAACTGATCTAGGTATTAGTTCCATAAATGTAGCGAATGTTTATATATTATGGGAGGGGGCAATGTTCTGCCCCCTATTCGGTGATGAGATTCAGCGCCGACCGACTCGGCTTGCGGGGTTTTCCTCATCCAGGTAACTCCCACCAGCGGTGTACCGCCCTACCTGGAACCAGCTGTAAGATCCTTACTGGTCTCCCAGAATGTGTGGTAGTGAACTGCTTGCCAGATTAAGTGTGTTTAAGCAAGGGAAATAGGGAAAGGTTGAGGAAGGAAATATTGCGCGTTTGTAGGGTACTGCTTCGGAATTTGCCAGCTATTGATTGGAGAAACCACGGAAAACTACTGATCAGAGCAGCCGGCCACTAGAATTCTCCTCCAAGCAGTAGTTGAATCTGACCTACCTATGTACCTAGTGTAAAAAAATCCTGCCAGTTTCGGGAATCGAACTCTAGAACCTCCCTGTCAAAAGCACTGCAGTGGCATCAGTTGATGCCCTGAGCCCCCGTACCCGGTGCTTTCTTTCTTTAAACCACACAAGGCATTGATAGAGCTCTCGAGCTTTGCCTAATCCAGATGTGAAATGACAGGAATGGGCTCACGAATCCAGTCAGAGCAATGGAAAGACACACAAGTGGTCGAATCTGGAGAAAATAATCTTAGCCGGGGTGGAAGGACGAGAATTGAAAGTGACCGAATATGTTTAAAAAATACAGGAATACATGACATAAGAAAGAAATTAACAAGAGGCATTCTCTTAAGGTGATGAAATAGATTTTATTCGTTGTTATTATTATTATTATTATTATTATCAGCGTATAGGCCATTACAGACCACGCTACACGATTAACGTGTGTAATTCTTCCAGGATCAGCTTTTCAGCTGTATCCTTGGATTACAACAAGGTTGTTACGCCTTGAAGTGTGAATTATGAGATGAAAGGATGATGATGATAAGTGAAGGGACAATCACAAATACGACCATGTCTACGCAGGACTCGAACCTGCAGCCTCCTCGGCACAGACGACGGCTGCCGCAACCGTCTGCGCCACGGGACCGACTATTCGTTATTATTGTACTGTAGATACATTTTTTTTTTTTTTTTTGGCAAACCGCAACGCATCGCGGTATGGCGGATTGCAGTCCCGCTGGGCGGGAGACGCTATTTAAATAAAATTACTTCGGTCCTGCCAATCCGGGTAGCCGATATCGTAGCAATTTCGAAGCAATCGAAGGATCGCAGGTAGGAATCCCGCCTGGGGCATGGATGTATTTGTGGTCATCCTTTTACCGCTTATCATCCTATCACTTCGTTAAAGATGTATGAATAATTCCCTGTTCAAGCAGGAGGCCCTTGCCCTTAATGGGATGTGCAGTTGGCTAATAACAAAAAAAAATCCGTTCCAGTCGATATATTTCCTTGCTTTTTCCAACTGACGATTGTGAAAAATAACCACTCGAACAACGCCGAGTAACCAGCTAATTAAATAATGTTTTTCCATATCTTCTTGTGAAAGTGTTGCACTCAAGGTAATGAGAGAAGAATATTAGTTACTTAAGGAACAATCAACGATAATTTATCGATACTATATATGAAAATGATCAATATATAAATGTATTTTATACCAAATACTCACTAAAATTAAATTAATATTTCCCAATACGAATAGAGGTGATGTGAAGATATTAGTTTCCCATCGTTTTTCTGTAGGTTTTAGTATTCAGAAATATATTGACTTGCACAAGGTAAATGACTGACTAAAAGGCTAACTGTGAACTAAATGCTTTAATTTGTTTCATTCTTTTCTATTTTATTTTGCTATACTATTTATCAAATACATTTTACTTCCAATATCTACAATTATATCTTACGTATTTATGTTCCTTTTCTGAATCCGTTCTTTTTAAGTTTTATTCATCGTTTATGTCATTGGAATATGTAATAATTAATCATGTAAATGCTCCTGAGAGTATGACCATAATAGCGATTGTTAATTTCGTCGTTCCCTTAGAGCGATTTTTGTTTCCCAGATATACTTGGAGCAAATTTTGAGATGGCACTTCGTTTGATTCTGGTCAATAACATCAGAGTCGCTCCCCCCCAAATTTCAAATACAGCATGAATTGCTTTTTGTTATTGTTGATTTGTGACAGATTTAACTACAATGATATTGCCTACTTCAATCCTGCCGGTAATTCTGCCAGTACTGACAAACTAACTTCATTGGAACATTGACATCACTGACAAATGTTAAATACAGTAATACTCTGTAGGGCACGCAATACGATACAATTAAATATTAATATATAGGTTTCCGATTAGTGTCGGTCTCCCTGGCACTCGCATTCTTTCTTTAAACTGGAATAAAATCATTTTAAATGTCTGGAACTGAAAAGTTAATTATACGTGACATTGACATACTGTTTCAGAGAATAACAGAAGGGCATGTACTGTATAATTATGTGAACATACCTCTGTTACTCAGAAACAGCAGTATTTTAAATGGTTACTGCAGTCTCGTCTCTGCACAACTAATTTCTATAAATGGTGAGCTGATACTGCTCATTATATAGTGACAAGAAAATGAAGAAAGGAGAAGATCATAACTGCAGTTTGAAAATCATTTTATTTTTGTCTTGTTATACAAATACAATATTAAAAATATATAATCTGCCATTGAATAACGTAAGTAGTTTCTTTTTTTTATATGTATATTCTAGCTGTTGGAAAAACTATTTATTGAGACCAACGCTAGAAAATACTATTTTCATCTTTTATTGAAAACTAATAACAAATGGTGAACTTTAAATGAAAGAAAACACAATAAAAACGAAGGAGTCGCATTAAACTATGTATCATTTAAACAGTACTAATATCTTACACGTATTAACACAGGATTATATTCGTATCAGGAATGTAGTGTTAATTAAAACTTCGCAACACTAGCAGAACATACAAAAGATAAAAATGGAATTTAAAGAAATATAAAACATATTTCAAAATATAAAAACACACTTAAAATTAAAAATTATATCCGATACAGCAATGACATTAGCTGGCATTTTTTCTTAAATAAAAGCACATGATATAAGTAGTATTTAATAATATCATAAATAATTTCAGTTAAAGTTATATATTTTATTTTACATTTAATTAACTTGGTAATATTTCCATTTTACCAATCCAGTCACGCGCATCGGCCATTTTTTTCACCTAATCACACAGGTCTGTTTCTTACAGGTAATAAATTTTATTTCCGTTCCCTATTCATTTTGAATTTCCTTTAGTACTTATCTGTATAATTTAATATTACTTTCCAACAATTTGTTATAAGAATCCAATAAGGCGGTAATAGAATATTTTTTAATTCATTAAATTATTAATTTATTAGTGTAAAATATTTTTCAACATATTTTTTCAGGATTTATTTCAAACTTATTTGAGAGACTCACAATTGAAATAAGAAACCTTCCTATAGACATATTACCGATAATGAATATGAATTTCTTTGGCATGTTAGTAGAGGTTTACATTTCTGAATGTCCCTAACCTTTATTTAGCAATTAATTTAATACAAACCATTGTGCATTATAACTGTTCTGTAACCATTTTGAGTTTTACCGTTGTCGAATTTTAATTACTTGACTTCATTATTTATTAATTAATTTAACACCGGGTTTGTAAATAATTACATAAATTAAATAATAAAAATGTAAAAATAAATTAATCAAAATGCTACAACAAAACTGTTATTTTAAAATGTCCAAAATAAGTGCAGTTTTAATGGTTCAAATCAGTTTTAATGGTTTAAATCGTTTTGAAAGCATTACGAGGCGAGCGTGTATTAGAGATGATATTCAAGCTTATACTCATGTAGATTCGTGGTGGTCGTATGCGAATGTCGTAATTTATGTTGTCTTTATGCTGTCTTAGGCAAAAGACGTCCGTTGCATAATTCACAGCCGTGAAGGTCGGATTTACGTTGAGGCTTGAAAGAGTGACAAGCAAGCATATCTTCAAACGTACGTTTTGCACCCACCCCGGGAGAGGTGAAGGTCAGAAGGGAGAAAATCGAAGTGTAAGCGACAAATACGAGTAATGTGTTATTTCTTACATAATTAGAACTATCACCCCTATCCTTTCGACGTCGAGAGAAGTGGAACCGTCAAACAATTCAACTGACCAAAGTAGTTGACGCACTTGGCTACACGAAATGTCGTTTCCTCCATCCTAACTCTTGTATTCCATGAAGCAAAACCGGCTGAGTCTGCCTCAGAACCCGCATTGCCACTGATTAGGACCGGAAAGTCCTAGGTTTTGAACCCCGGTCGTGGCTCGAACACTAGCTAGAGAGGTCGAATTCAGCAGCTGGCTGGAGAACTCTAGCGGCTGGCTGCTATTATCAGTAGTGTTCCGAGGGTTCTCCAATGAACGCCATGCGAATGCCTGGAGCAGTACCCTAACAAATAGGTAACGAACCCGGCGTGATCTTTCCTTCCTCTTCGTTGTCCGTCCTCTCTCCCTCCACACACGCACACTTACATGCACTACACTACCATACTCTCGAGAGACCAGTCTGGAACTTCAAACTTGCTGGTGTGGCGACCCACTTTGAGACGGAAATCCCTCCGCAACGCGACGTGTAGGTCGGCGCCGAAATTCGCTTTCCGGCGAGGAGGAACAATGCCACCTCCCGCGAAAGAACACCAGCACCACTAACCGTACAATTGTCAGATTTAAATATTGAGACTTTTGTCAGATAACTTCCTTGGGAGTTGCATTTAAGTAGACGATAATGACTATAAGAGTCGACGTGCCCGGAAACAATCGGTCGGTCGACCGTTGAAGCGAGCACAAACGAGTGTGCGCCGGAGTGACGGTGGCGTGTGTGCGCTGCGCAGGGGTGTCCATGTTCGGCGCGGCAGTGGCGGCGCTGGCGCTGTGGCCGCTGGAGTCCCCCGCCGCGCTGCTCTCCGCGCACGCCGCCTTCTGCTGCCTGGCCTCCATGGGCTGGGCCGCGCTCTGCGTCATCACCGTCGAGCTATACCCGGCGCATCTCCGGTGAGCCTCATCATTTGCTTTAGTGCGCTCTGCCGCTTCCGCCTTCCCGTTTTGCTCGACATGCTCTAAACCGTCCTCCTCCTCCTTCTGCTCTACATCTTTTCCTCGCGTCGTGCTTTACATCCTCATCGTGAATGTTATTCTACTCTCTCTTTTTCTCGCGCCCTCTCCTTTTTCTCGCGCCCTCTCTCTTCTCGTCCTCTTTAGACTGCCCTCTGTTTGCTCTTCTTTTCTTTCTCCTTTTTCATTTCTTTCTCTTGTTTTCTCCCTTTTTTAATTTCTTTCTCTCTTTCTCCTTTTTCTTCTGCCCTCCCTCCTCTGTCTGCCCT